AGTCACATTTAACAGACTGGAAGCAGTGGACGTTTTTTGTTGACTTATCAGGTTATTCAGTTATCACAATAATTGCTTAATTTCTTCTTTCTCGATCGACTAATTGATTAATCCCGTAATCTTTAAAACATTTTTTTAAGCATAACACTGGAACATAGGATACATAACATATACAGTATTTTGATTTAGATGATATTTTCTCTAATTCCTTTCACCACAATCATCTGGTTTTTCTTCTCTGTGAGCAATGGCAGTCCCAGATGTGTTCAACTTGTGCAAATTGAAGATTAAAAAAGAGAAGTTCAGTTTCCTTGTGTACAAGAGGGAAATGTCACCTAGTGGAATCTGCACATTCACCAGTGTCAACCTTTCTTTGGACTGCTACGCACGCAGCGTTGACGTCTGCCTTAGGCTCTTGTATCAGAGAGCTGCATGGGAAACAGTGCTCCTGCTAGCACTGCTGGATCAAGGCCCGAGGATAGAAACAGACCAAACACAGAGACGTGCATCAGTGCCAAGGCCAGCAGCCCATCTGGTAACAAAATGCAGCCTTTTTTATTTACCTTTGAACTAGTGCCGCCCTGCTGAAGCCATTTCACCTCCATAAAGCTCACGCAGCTTGCAATGTAGTAAAAATAACCAAGGTGGGTAAACCTCCAGGTCGGGATAACTACACAGACAAGGCAACAACACCTAGCAACAAGGAATATATTCTTTTTTTTTCTCCTCAAACGCCCCTATCCTGCTTATCTCTATCAATAAATGTAATAGGTTCCAGCCTGACTTTAGTTAGATACACGAGGTGTACCCACACAAGTCCCTGCCTACAGCCCTGTACATATAGTATGCAAGCTTCAACACATATTATAGTTCAGTGCTTACAGCTACGCTTCAAAATAGGCAAGCTGCAGCATGGTTGCTATAGATGTAGATTTTGGATTGAGTTTGACATTCATGTACTTGTGGTCTCTAACTGCATCCTGGGTGGGTAAGTGAGCCTATACAGCATCAGTTTTCACAAAGAAGGACACCACAGTGTGGGGTCTGGTTTAATCAGCCTGCCCTTTCTAAAGTGTAGGCTTAAAGTCCATAGAAGCAACAGATATGTGAAGGCTGAGTTGAAAATGGGCTTCATCTTTACTAGGCTTTAATGTAGCTGTATCACAATTTGACTGATAGAAATGTGATTGGTATGACTGCTGTGCACTGCATTTGGCTGACGTTTAATGATTTGACATACAGTGATTTTGAGTGGTCCTGCATGACGCCACAGTAGGGAGTTGGCCGTTGCATCTTGATGTCGCAGTGCAGAAATGGTGTTTGTCTTGTTGAGGCTGACCACTGGAATGAAAATCACAGAGGGACACGATGGAGAGACACGTATAACAACTCAATATTAATCTCACCTGGCTCTCATTTTTCATCACTATTTCATCCTGTTAAAACTGCCTGATTTCAATGGAAAGGATTCAAAAATACCTTCTTTTTTTAATGACCACTCTAAAAATAAAGTGCGTGGCATTGTGAAGTGCATTATAAAGGCTATAGTTGTCAGATCGTTCATTGATGTCCTGCGTTGCAAGGTAACCTCTGCACACTGGACGACACTGGAAGATCAACCTCGTCTCCAGTGGTAGTGTGTGATAAGAGCTTCAGAAGGTCTCTACTTTAAATCATGTCAAAGGGACATCTTTGCTGCAGGGTGCATTTTCCCTGATGAGCAGGATGATTCATCAAACAAGCATTTTAGTGTTGGCACTGCTGGAGTGCAGAAAAACTCCTTCCTTTATCTGCTGATATTAATACCAGAAATTCATCTTTAAAAGTTTTAAAACTTGTGTCATATATAACATTTGATACTATAGATATAGCTTTCTTACTAGCATGTCAGTCTGTAACAGCAATGTAATACAATACAAAAATGTAAACAATAATGTATTCAAAGTTTTGACTCACATAACCTACAGACGCCGCAGGTCACCTTCCGTGGAGTCGGCCATGTTGAACCACCATGTTTCTACATTAGGCCTGAAGGGACGAACCAAACACTGGCTCTGCATAGGGGCGTTTCTGTTTTTCACGTGTTTTGCGGCTATTGTAGTTTCGTCTTCATGCTTGGAAGGGGAGGATGAAGCGAAGGAGTAGCAATCTGCAACTATACCACTAAATGCCACTAAATCCTAGACATTTAAACATGTGGCCTTTTCTGTGGGACATAGCAACACTGCTTGATTTCCCCAAAGCCTAATACACCTAATATTATACTTTTTTTTTCCTTCTGAAGTTTATTTCAGGTGAGGTGGGGCGGTTAATAGTTAACCCTTATATATCATCAACATCTGACTTATGTGTTGGAAATGAATAAACATTCAGCTTACTGCTGAAATGTGAAGTCTCTTCAGAACCTTTTGGTCTGGTTCTTTGAAGCTTTTCACCAGAACTTTAAATAGACCATCAAGGAGGTTTTGACTCCTCATTCTGGACCAAATCGGCTTCTTGATAACTTGACTGCGCCAGATGGTTTGTTACAGTGAACCATATGGGAAGTTGTCATTGGAAACTGTTTGGAAAAGGGCGGACACTTTCAAAAAAGTACTTGGCAGGTGATTGGATGAACCATCTATCACCGTCCATCATGGGCGAACTTCAAATGATCAGATCAACTAAATATAGAACATAGTCCAATTCTTACTGAAGCCAGTTCCTTCTTTCTTCTTCTTTCATGAAGAAATACTCTCCAGCATCTATGCGAACCTCTATGGTAGCCGCCATTGTTGTTTAAAGAGTGTTACCCACCCCCAGAGTTACCAGTACCTCTTCAAATGCATAGGTTCATTTATGGATCCCTGCGTAATCTTATTAATCCAGCTGCCTCGTGAGGTTACTTTTTTGAAGGCAGGTGAGGAAAACTCTGGTATCAGACTGGCTGAATAATGAATGTAATATGATA